GGGCGAGGCGAAAGTGCGCGAGTTCCTGCACTGGTAGAGGCCACATGGAGCGCAAAGGGCCGCCCCCGCCCGGGCGGGCGCATGTCCCGTGGTTGTCCCGCGGTTGTCCCGTGGTTGTCCCGTGGTTGTCCCGATGGTTGTCCCGATGGTTGTCCCGATGGTTGTCCCGATGGTTGTCCCCATGGTTGTCCCGATGGTTGTCCCGTTGGTTGTCCCGATGGTTGTCCCCTTAGTTGTCCCGATGGTTGTCCCGATAAAGTGGTTGTCCCGATGGTTGTCCCGATGGTTGTCCCGATGGTTGTCTCGATGGTTGTCCCCATGGTTGTCCCGATGGTTGTCCCGATGGTTGTCCCGATGTTGTCCCGATAGCTGCCCCGATGGGTGACCGATGGTTACCCTGATGGTTGTACCGATGGGTGTCCTGGTGGTATCCCGATGGCTGATTCCTGAGTGTGGATACAGACATAGATAGATATATGGATATATATATAGCTAGATACATAGATAGATAGATCGATAGAAAGATCGAAAATTGAGGGGGGAACGGAAGTGACCCCAACAGGGAAATCGGCTCCGGTTTCGTTTCGTGTCGCGCGTGCGGGCGAGGCGAGGCCACATGGAGCGCAAAGGGCTGCCCCCCCCCCCGGGCGGGCGCGTGTCCCGTGGTTGTCCGGCGGTTGTCCCGTGGTTGTCCCATGGTTGTCCCGATGGTTGTCCCGATGGTTGTCCCGATGGTTGTCCCGATGGTTGTCCCGATGGTTGTCCCGATGGTTGTTACCATGGTTGTCCCGATGGTTGTTACCATGGTTGTCCCGATGGTTGTCCCGATGGTTGTCCCGAGGTTGTCCCGATGGTTTTCCCAATGGTTGTCCCAATGGTTGTTAGCATACTTGTCCCCATGGTTGCCCCGATGGTTGTCCCCATGGTTGTCCCGATGGTTGTCCCGATGGTTGTCCCGATGGTTGTTACCATGGTTGTCCCGATGGTTGTCCCCATGGTTGTCCCGGTGGTTATCCCGAGGTTGTCCCGATGGTTTTCCGAATGGTTGTCCCAATGGTTGTTACCATACTTGTCCCGATGGTTGTCTCGATGGTTGTCCCGATGGTTGTCCCGATGGTTGTCCCGATTGTTATCCCGATGGTTGTCCCGATGGTTGTCCCGATAAAGTGGTTGTCCCGATGGTTGTCCCGATGGTTTTCCGAATGGTTGTTACCATACTTGTCCCGATGGTTGTCTCGATGGTTGTCCCGATGGTTGTCCCGATGGTTGTCCCGATTGTTATCCCGATGGTTGTCCCGATGGTTGTCCCGATGGGTGTCCCGATGGTTGTCCCGAGGGTTGTCCCGATGGTTGTCCCGAATGGTTTTCCCGATGGTTGTCCCGATGGTTGTCCCGATGGGTGTCCCGATGGTTGTCCCGATGGTTGTCCCCATGGTTGTCCCGATGGCTGTCTCGATGGTTGTCCCGATGGTTGTCCCGATAGTTGTCCCGATGGTTGTCTCGATGATTGTCCTGATTGTTGTCCCGATCGTTGTCCCGATGGTTGTCCCGATGGTTGGCCCGATGGTGTCCCAACGGCGGACGCCTGAGGGTGGATACAGAGAGAGAGAGAGATAGATAGATAAATGAATAGATACATAGAGATAGATAGATAGATAGATAGATCGGAGGTTGGGGGGTGTGAGCGGAAGTAACCCCAACCGGGAAATCGGTTTCGGTTTCGGTTCGTGTCGTGCGTGCGGGCGAGGCGAAAGTGCGCGAGTTCCTGCACTGGTAGAGGCCACATGGAGCGCAAAGGGCTGCCCCCCCCCCCCCGGGCGGGCGCGTGTCCCGTGGTTGTCCGGCGGTTATCCCGTGGTTGTCCCGATGGCTGCCCCGCGGTTGTCCCGTGATTGTCCCGATGGGTGTCCGGATGGTTGTCCCGATGGTTGTCCCCCATGGTTGTCCCGATGGTTGTCCCCGTGGTTGCCCCGATGGTTGTCCCGATGGTTGTCATCGCACATCCACCGCCTCCCCCCCCAACCACCTTATCACCCGTAGTCCTATCGGTATTTTGGATTGCCCCGGGGCCGAGAGACCGCTCCCGGAGGCCGAAAATTCGCCGGCCCAACTGGCCAGAGGCGTGCTAAGATCTCGGGTAACTGCGTACAGTATTTCTACATCGCGCGCGCGGAGCGGCCCCGGAGTCCCTGGACGAAAAAAACCCGGAAGGGCCAATTCGGGTCAGAGATCCCCGGCCGGGTCGGGTCAGGTGGGCGCCGCCCTCGAGGCCCTCCAGAAAGCACCAAGAAGGGCCAAGAGGCCCCCAAGAGGCCCCCAAGATAGAACGAGAGGGCTCCGAGATGCCACAAGACTGCTCCAAGATGCCCAGGATTGCCCCCAGACGCCCCAAGAGGCAAGAGGTAAAATTAATGTTTTTTTTAAGGTTTTGGACAGATTGGGGCGTTTCCCCCTTTTCGGCTTCCCGACGCCTCAAGACGGCCCCAGAGGGTCCAAGAGG